CATTGAGGATGTGACAACAGCCATAATTGTTTCAGGTAATAGGCTGTTTCCTGAAAATGACCCAGTTCAGTGGGACTGGAAACAGAGAGGACCAATTTGCCGCCTCATTATTCTGTTGGGTTTTTTTCAGTTCCAAGACAAAGCTGGCTCCTTGGTGTTCAGTAATGTGTCAGCAGAGGATTCAGCAAAGGATGCTGCTGATGTGGCTTCCAGTGTACAAGCAAGTTTTCAGTCGCTGAAGAGATATTCTCTTGTGGTGCTGCAGCCTCTTGTAATTTGTTTGCAGGAAGCTGTGGCATATGTGAAGGGAAGTCTGCCCTTTGCCTTTTTCACTCTAATAAGGCTTTGTCTTCAGAAAGTGACTTGTAGCATCACAGCCCTCAACACATGAATTTCATGTACACGGCCAAAGATAAGGCTTCTTATCAGGCAGATACTGGCAAGGATCCCTCAGAAGCCCTGCCTGGCTCTTGGTCCTGCTACCAGCACCACCCATGTCTGCTCCTACCTGCAGCCCCAATCCCTCCAGTTCCCATCTCTGGAAATTACCCTTGTGCTTTGGAAATGAGCCTTTTCCAGTGGGGCTGCTGCCAAGACGAGAACAAACAGGACAGGGAAGGGAGCTCAATCATTCAGGACACACTTCATATTTCAAAAATATAAGACCATCTAGTTCTTTTCTTAATACAGTTACTGAAATTATGTACCAGTGAATTAGTTGTTGCAGTTGTTTAGCACTTGTTTCTGGTAAGGTAAACAGGTGCCTGAAATTATCAGGCAGAATTTTAATATTTTAATGCAGTAAGCAGAAGTAATTTTTGCTCAAATTGAAATGAGGACATTCCTTGACAAAACAGACAGAAGCAGAAATCCACAAGGAAATGCCCAGCAAATCATCACTTAGCCACAGAGCCAAAGGTAGAGCAAATTGCCTTTTTATCAGGCAGAGAGCTGTACAACAGGGAAGGTGTTCAGGCTGCTCAACCCAAGCACTTCCCACTCTATCCCTCATGACAGAGAAGCTGCTCGTCAGCAGGAAGGCAGCTCCCTCTGATTCTTCCTTGCAGAGGCAGCTCTGCCAGCCTCACCCTGAGAGACATGCAGTTTCCCTGCATTTGGAAGAGTCTTGTGCTCTTTAAATGATGCTTATTATGATCCCCAGCAATTAACTGGATCTCCAGCAATTCAGACTGGGTGGAGGTGCAGATTGCTAAAATAGCCTTCAAAGAGATAATTCATTCAAACTGAACCTGTGAATTCATACTTTTTTTTAACCTATTTTTTTCCTCTGGTTATTTTGTTCTCATCTAAATCAAATATATGAAAGGGAGGTGCTATTCTCTGCAGAGACTTTCTCTTGCTTTGCCTGTCTATGCCACCTTTCACCAAGTGCTTCAGGATCTCTCTCTGAGCTTTGCAGGACTTGAATTACCAGAGCACTGGGCTTTTACTCACCACACCTGGGTCAGCTGGGGGGCTCTGCTGTAAGGTGATGTATCATGTTTGTCTCCATCAAGGCATGAGTTTCAGCTAAAACACCAGCACTTTGTTAAATGTGAATGTCATTCTCTTGTATTTATTGAGGTTTTCAATAATAGAGAAACAGAAGAAGTCACATTACCATGGGACAGAAGATGACACAAGAAAAGACAGAAAAAGCTCCCTGTGCTTGACCTTGGCTTTTGATTTTTAAAAGACAACTGCTTAGTAGTTGTTGATAAAATGAAACGATACAGTGTGTTAAAGGATATAAAAATTTCAATGCTCTGCATGTTCAGGCTGTTTGGGGTAAGGCTTTTTACCCACTACTCTGCATTTTGACAACATACAACTCTCCTGCTTCGTATTGCCATGACTGATGGCTTGCTGGGATCAGAGGAGAGAATCTCTAACCAGACTTTTATCAGGTTTTTCACATCATCTTCTAAGGAAGTCTAAACTGGTGTATTGCCACTGACTTCTTAAATCAGCTTAACCCACCTCAGCAGCATCTAATGCATTGGCTTCCATGGCACAGTCACTGCAAAGGCCTGAGCACAGAGATCTCCCCTCTCTGAGGGACTGTCTTGGTGCACACAGCAGGATGATGGCCTCTCCTGAATCCTCTGTCATGATTCAAAGGGGTATTTCCCATGGCATTTCAGGAGATGGGGTAGAAGGAAACTCAAGACATGCAATCCATCTGCTGCCCCAGATGGGGTCATATTCTTGGCAGTCCCAGGAGGTGCTTTTCCAATGTCTTTTAAGTTTCCCTCTCTACCAAACTACTGCTCTGCTTCTCTGTGCCCAAAGGATGAGTTGTCTCATGCCTGACACCTTCCTGATCTAGTTCTAGCTGGGGGCACTGTTTTCCAGATGCAGGTCAGGTGTGTGATCACCATCACTTTTCCTTCAGTGACTCTTCTCCTAGATTGAACAACTCTTAATCTCACAAAATTTTACTTTTTTGTTTCATTTTTCTGAACCTCTGTTCTGCTCCCTGTCCAGCAGGTCCCCCTCCTTCTCAAAGTGCAGTACTGGAGCAGACATGCCACCCCAGGAGACACATTACAAAAGCAGTAGGGTTAATCATCCTACCTGGAAGCCTGTGCCTTATTTCTACACCCTATTGAAATATAGAACTCTAGAAATATAGAAAAATAAAATCCTGTGCCTATTTCTATACTCATTCTGCTGTTTGCCCTTTTTACAACAGCAGAGGACATCTGACTGATGTTCAGCTTGTGTCCTGAGCAGCCATTTGATTCTTTACTGCAGTACTGCAGCCTAAGCAGATAGTCCAGTTTGTAGAGTTTTGATTAATTTCCAAACATAAATTCTGTATTTGTCCTCATTGTATTGCATTCTGGTTTTTTCTAGACCATTTCTCCATGTTCTGTAAATTGCTTTGAATCCAATGCTGTCTACCAGAAAGCCTGGAGTCCCCTCACTTGTCATTGGCATGCTTAAAGGGTATACTTTCTACTCCATTGCCCAAATTGCTAGTGAATATAATAAGGGTGAGCTCACTGCATAATCTGGACTTGGATGGAAAATTTTGTCATGGTAAATATCCTAGAGCTGAGCCTTGCACTTCTCTCCTAGAAACTCACATCAGTATTATCTGTGACTGGAGTAGCAGCCTAGCCACAGCTCCTAGTAGTGCTGGCTTTTGTGCAAAATCTGAGAAAAGGAGCAAATTTTGCTTCTCAAAAATACCAAGTTTTGTGTCTGTTCTGCCCTCTTACCGAACATTTCAGATGGAAATCTTCTCCATCCCAAGAAAGCAGCTGGATTTTGCTGGACCATCCTGATGGAGGATGCAGCAGACCTGTCCATCATCAGCTCCCCCTCTCTCTCTTTGGGGCTGCTTGGTTAGCTGGGGGTCTAACCTGTGTTCTGCCTACTTGGTTTCTATCAACTTCTTTTATAGACTAAAGACATCCAAATGAAACTTTTTGATTCTGTTGATTCAACAGTTTGCAGGGAAGAAGCATTCTGTCAGAAATTATTTGATTAGCTGAAAGCAACATGTCTGATTTCTTCCCAAATAAACTAGATACTGAGACAGTCAATCCTAATTCAGGAATCAAATGAACCTCTCATCTTGGGCGGAGCAATTTCTTTCCTAATACACTCCCTTAGTACACATACACGGATAACTTTCAGCACTACCATGGCAGCAGCTGGACTGAGCTGAAGTCTCCAGGACATCGAGGAGAAGTTGCTGATCACTTTGATAAGTAGCAGCAAAGTGTTGCCTCTACCAGCCCAGGTGGTGGACAGTCTTAGAATCATTTAGGTTGGAAAAGACCTTTGAGATCATAAAGTCCAACAGTTTACGAGGCATTGCCAAGTCCCTCACTAAACCACCTATACACATCTTTTGAATACCTCCAGGGATGTTGATTCCACCACTTCCCTGGGCAGACTGTTCCAGTGTTTGACAACCCTTTTGGAGAAGGAACTTTTCCTAGCATCTAGTCAAAGCCTCTCCTGGCAAAACTTGAAGCCATTTCCTCTCCTCCTATCACTTGTTAGGTGGGAGAAGAGGCTGACCTCCACCTCACTACACACTCTTTTCAGAGAATTGTAGAAACTGAGCCTCCTTTCCTCCAGGTGAAACAACCCCAGCTCCCTCAGCTCCTCCTTCCTGGTGACAAGACCTAGGCTGACATCCCCCTAAACACCTTCTCCTCAAGGCGCGATCCATGCTTGCGGAGAAACACTCAGGGATTTGTTCTATTTCCCTGAACCCAAGGGGAAATTTGGATGGGTACTTTTACATGCACAGATATAGATCTCCCTCAGCCTGTGTGTGAATTGATTATGATATAGATGTTGTGAATATTATGAATCCATAATTAAGTCACAGTTATAACTGTAGGAAATCCTTGGAATCACTTTATAAATGCCACTTGCTGTGGCATTTCACTCTTAAATATCTGCTTGGGAGCAATGGTGTGGAAACTTGTGTTGATGAGGTGATGCATTTCAAGGATTCCAGGAAGTCAGGAACAGAAGACTTTCTCTGCAACTGAGGCCAGGTGTGTGGTTTTAGCTTTGTAAGCCAATTGAAGAGCCTTCAATATGTACAAAATCCGCACCGAAAAAAATGGAAAAGTGGGTCCCACAATAAAGGTCATCTCTCTCTCTTTTTTTGATATCTTTAATTCACACAAGAAAAGGAAATTTTGTACAAAATTTAACATCAACTGCCACCCTGAGGCAACTACTTGGTGAAAGAGCACAGCTGCAGAGATTCATCTGCTCTTGACCAAATCCAGCTTCTTCACTCCCTTAGAGATTTTTTTCCTTTTCACCTCATATCACAGACTTTTGTGTAGCAATAACTCTTTCTTCAATAAAATATTCTTTATTTTTTCAGAATGACAAAGGAGATTTTTGCATGTGATGTGCATTATTTGAAGTAATTCTTGCAGCTATCATGGCAAGGACAGGTGGAAGAGGTATTGTTAACCACAGGGAATGTGAAACAGAGCAGTAGATACCAAATGCAGCCCTGCTTCAGATTGCAGATACCTCTCCTTAGCCCATGCCAGCATCCCTCAGACTCATCACTCACACCTTACAGTACAGATAGAGAATATATAATTTAACCTCAGTTGGCATGACTGTATTTCAGGATTAACTCTTCTTCCTTGGTTCCCAATTCTGTGCTGTGACAATCTTTGCCATTGATTCATGTGCCTTATTGCAGTGAAAACCCATCTGGCAGCCCAAAGGGCTCCTCTCTTTGGCTCACTAGGGCCACAAAAGTAACCCTTCTCTGGGCACATCTCCAGTTAACCCTTTGATGTTACGAGGGATGAGGCTGCTGCCTGTAGTGGCACCCAGTTTCAGAAGCTCACATAGCTGGAGAGAGAATCGCTGCCACCCACAAGACTGTGTGGGACCAGGGGATGGGACACATCCAGAACCGAAGGGCAACAGAGGTTTTCCTTTCAAAAGCCCACACTTCTTTAGGGGGCAGATGAGATAAATTCAGTGCTTGTACCAGCAAACACTGGCATGCTAGTCTTCTGAAGTCCACTTACTTCAGCCTTTAATTATCCCAGCTATGGGAGGAGTCCCAGCTGCAGGAATGCCTCCGAGAACTCTGCTGCTTTGCTGGACCTTCTTCTTTGGTTCTTACCTCTGCCAGCACAAACAAGTTATGTTTCAGAAGACTGAAGCAAATCTTTGCTTTGCATTCAAAAAAAGTCATTTAGCTCACAGAGGTGATGCTTCAGAGTCTTAGGACATCTTTATTGATCTGGAACTAAATAAATAAACTCAGAAAATAAACTCTGAATTGTTTTAACTTTCCTAGCACTGGCTTGTTGAAGCAGTGTGAAAACTTGCTTTGGAGCGGTCAGATATGTGGTGAGAACACCTTTTCACAGTGCCCTTATCTGCGGTGCAGGGAGCTCCCTGAGACAGCCAATCTCACCTGGAAAGGAGCTGCTCTTTCAGGGAGAGCAGGATGTGTTGATGCCTGCAGCCATACTTCCCCTCCTGCAGCAAGGTTCAGAGAAACCTGTCTGCACTTCAGCAGTGGAGAAATGGGTGAGGAGAAAACACAAGCCATCATTACCTGCAAGAGTAGACTGTCAATAATAAGAGAGAGAGAAATACACCATTTGATGTTTCTGGCTAGGCCATCAGGAGGAGGTGAATTCACTCCCAAAGTGGATAAACTCTAATTCCCTGTATTTATCCTTTCTAAATATTTGAAATTCTTAATTGGCTGCTATCAGTGTTTGTAAGACAACATCTGCAGGGGTAAAACCAGCTGAATTTCTGAAAATCAGAAATCTATATTTTCTGTAAATCTGATTTACATCTTACATATTTGTAACAACATAGCCACTCCAGCTATATCTGATTTAAAAGCATAAAGCAGAGATTATGTTTCTTTAGAGAAATTTAGAACAATGCTCCCACCTTGCTCTTGCAGCTGGTATAAACATATTCTTGCTTCTCCTACTCTTTGCTGCTTCTCAAGCACAGACTTGCTTTTCCAAATCAGACACTGCTTTGCTGCATACTCTCTGCTTTTCCACAGCAATTCTTTTACTGGAAAAGTTTTGCCTACCCTCTAGTGGGAATTTGAATTATTACACCTGCAGATTCCAGCTGTACAGAAGGGTGGAGTCCCTTGGGCACAGCCTGGAATTACTGCACGGCCAGTCTTCCTAGTGTTCCTAGCAAAGAGAATGCCCCATTCCTGTCTTTCTCTTCCCTTAGGCACAGCCTGGAACTACTGCATAGCCACTCTTCGTGGTGTTCCCAGCAAAGACAATGCCCCATTCCCATCTTTCTCTTCCCCCAGTGAGATGCAGGTTTCCATTTTGGCAGAAAGGATGGGGACTCTGTTTGCTGGGATTTTGTTATGGTAGAGGGACAGATTATTTTTTCACTGGCATTCATGGACAAGTATCTAGCTCTGATAAGCAAGTGTGGCTGTATTATTCATGCTGAGTCAAAGAATGGATGGAAATTTAGAAGACATATGATAAATCTATACCTTAATTTCATTTGCTCTTGTTGTCATTACATTGCAAGGGTTCCATATTACTAGAGTTTCATACTGCCTTGATGTTTCTTGCAGGCAGCTCCTCTAGGCCCTGACTCATCCCTACAGGAGCCAGCTGACTCCAGTTCCCACCAATCCACTCTTTTATAACACTCTTCTGATTGGCTACAGGTGTGGCCTGTCAAATTCAGGCCTGCTCCTAATCTTTAGTAATTGGTTCAGCTGCAACTCTTTAGGGGATAAGATTAAATTCTATACCACCTTCATTTACCCATACTGTATCCCCCTACATGCTCTTCTCAGTAGGAGAAAAGTTCTGAAGGCAGAGCATGGATCTGGGTTAGTGTCTCCAGGGAGAGGGCCTGGCCCAGCTCTGAGGAATGATAGCCGGGCCCATGTGCTCTCCCAGAGGTGGCACACAGGCATGGCCAGCAGTGGCACCCTTCCCCTGGGTGAAGGCAGCTGGCTAATTCTGGCTATTTCTGACCTTTGCACCCCACAAAGAACAACCTCCCAACCCGTGGTGCCATGCACAACATTTCATCCAGAAAGGTTTCCCTGTGTACTGCTAATGTTTTGTGTACTGCTAATTTTTTGGCTGCTGTTAAGTTTACTGCTGAAACAAGGATAAGTGCTTCAATTGAAGTAAATAGGAGACCCCTGCGAATTAGAAAACACTTGATAGAAACCTATAAATGGGATGGGTACAGCTATTAATTACTGGCTCTTGGCTAAGGTCACACACAGTGGTAGTGAATCAGCTTTGGTGAGCTGGTTCCCCAAAACCTTCTCTGAAAGAAAATAGGAGTGCTCCTTCCACAGATACAGAGTGTGATGTTGGGGATGAAGTAGGGCCTGAGTAGTGCAGACACTGCTCTAACTCAACTTTTATTATTGAAGTGCCACCACTGAGCAATCAAGACTCCCTTGAAAATCTTTCTCTAAGCCTAAAATGCACTTTGTAAAAGCTCTGGGCTGAGAACTGATCTCTTCCCCACTTGGCTGCTAATTTGCTTTGTGACTGGAGGCAAGTCACTTAACTCCCCTGTGCTTCAGTTTCATCACCTGTAAAATAGGGATGATATATAAATATCTCAGAGCAGCTTACCAGCAGAAAGGTAATGTGAGGAAACTCCTCTAGGCAGGTGCTGCTGCCTTGTCTGTTAAGATAACTTTCTGTTGATAAAAAACACCATGAAATGAAGGGAAAAGAGAATTTCCCAAAAGATTTATGCTTGAAATTGTTGCACAGTACATTTGTGCACCGCTGTCTGCCAGGTCTTCTTCATTGCTGAGGCCATAAGTGATGGGCCAGCCTGGCTCACTCAGTGGAAAATTGTCCCTTTGGGATCATTTGGGGCTGGAAATAAATCCGCCCATAATGCTTTCCTGGTTTGTGCCAAGCTGCCTCCTTTTTTTTTTTTGCCCAGCTTTACAGATCTGTAACCAGAGCAGAGCTGGAGTTTTTACCTTGGATACCCTTTGAGGCACCTACAGAGAAGGTGTTTTCTGTCCCTGCCAGCTGCAGGTACAGGGCATCACTTTGCACAGTGGCTGGTGCCATGAAAGTCTTTGAAAATTAGGGGAGAGATGTGTGACTATCACAGGGTGTTCTCAGGGTAATACCAAATTACTTTGTCATAGATCTGCCAAGAAAGCACCAATTCTGCACAGGAGTTGTCTTGCAAAGGTTCTGGGATTCAGCCACTCATCTTGTGCCATTCAAGGGCAAATGGGAACCACAAAGACTGTGGCTTATTAGGGCGCAAAAGTGACTGTTAGAGGGGACAAAATGGACTTCCTAATCACTTTTCGAGAAAACTGAGGGGTCTTAACTGAATGTGTCTTAAGCTGGATGTAGTGAAGGGAAAGGGAAATATGAAGTAACCTGCTATCAGATTTGCTGGGCTGGGTAGCAGGGATCATTCTGGAAATACAACTGTGTTTTAAAAAAAACACATAAAGGAAGATTTCTCAAGGAATTGTATTTTCTTGCTTGCTTTATTAGAATTCAGTATGGCATTTAGACATCTGTGTGCAAAGTTGCATTTCTTTCTGCTTCACTTCATCTTCTTGCACTATTTTACAAAATAAAAGGAAATTAACAAAGTAATTTGAAAACCACACTTTTCTTTTTTTCAATAAACAAACACAGAAACACAGAAATTTTGTTTTTTCTTTTAAGAGTGGAGAGCATCACTGGTACTATAGCTTCCAGGCAACCATTTCTCTTTTGGTTTAGAAATCAGTGATATCAACCCTTTTGGAGAGTAAAGAAATCAAGGAGTAATCTTAGGAGGTAACACACCTTATAATTCAAGTGCCTTTTAAGGTTGCAGCAAGGATGAATCAAACATACTGCGCCTTATACTTGCCTGCAGCAGCTCTGAAAAATCATTTTTCTTTTGTGTATTTAAAAAAATCAGCATTTCGGCTTTAAATTTTGTTTTGGAAATATATGAATCTTGTTTTATCAACTTTAATTGTCTCCTTCTCCTTTTCTCCAAAGTACAGCTCTGATTGAAAGTGGGAATGCAACTTTTTCTCCTGCTTTAGGAGGCATCCAACTCACTCTGCCCTCTACCACAGGGCATCAAGTCAGAAAGACACCTTAGTCAGAAATATTGCTCTTTTGCAGGTGCTATTTAAAAAACAGGCCTTGAAATATATTTTCTTTAGTATAAATGGGGTTTCCACCTTCTTGACTCAATTGTGGGGCATTTACATTGAAGTGGCATCAGCTGGCACTGTTGAACGCCTCTACTGTCACAAAACATAAGGCAATACATGAAGTATTTTTCTTTACATCTCTATTCCTTTTCTGCTGGCAGGGAAAAGCAAACTGAGTTCAGAGCTGGTAGGACTTAAACAGTGAGGTGCTCAAAAAAAATCATTTGCTGCTTTAAAGTTTAGGTTCACTCAACCTGCATTTTCACAGCAGAAAATCTTGGCAGATGGAAGCAGTCATTCAAAGTTCATTTTGCTCACTTAGCCTTATCAGCAAAATGGCAGCATCCATGTGAGGTCTAAATGACTCAGTGGTGAGCCCGGCACTGCCCTGGACTAGGTGTGGTGGATCATGGCTTTGTGCACTGTTACACTGCACAGCTGCTGCAGTGTATATACACACATATATACATTATATGTACACACACATACACACCATTACGTCAGGACAAAATTGAAGCCTTCTGTCACAGCAATATCCAACACAGACATTGTCAAAGTAGACCATTTCCAAGCTATTTTAACCTTTCTCTCCACTAGCTCTTTACCCAGCTATTCATTTAGAGACTACATGCAGTCCTCTACACAACTCTCTCCTTAGGTGTTCTGCAGAGCAGCCAGGTTAGAACAGATTTTGTGAATTCTCTTTTATGCAGGACATTACTGTCAGTATTTTTGCTCTCTGGGAGGTTTGAATATGAGGAATGCCTTTTTTACATTCATTTATTTTGGGAACACATGAATTGGGGAGAAAAGGAAAAAAAAATTGTTGATTGCCTACCTGGACAAACAAAGGTAGAAAATACCTCTGCTGCAATCTGTGACAGTACACGAGTCACTGTGAGGAAGAAGGTTTGACTCGTCTACAGAAACAGTTGGCAGCTCCCAAGTTTCACCTTTAATGACATCAGAGCTGACATTCCCTTGGGAGGTTTGCCTTGCAGAGTTACTCCCTTGGCCCTCTGCAGCCCCAGGCAGAGAGCAGCCTGCTGGTAGATGCTTGAGCTGATGTGACTGTCCTTGCAGACAAACCTACCAGAGACTTCTGAGAGAAGCCTGCTCACTGGAGCATGGCTGTGGTGTGAATTAGCCTGCGATAGTGCGGTAATTTATGTAGCTATATTGTCACACTGTGTACAGAGCCTGAGAAGTGTCTCCTCTTTACTGCAATTGAAGCACTTATCCTTGTTTCAGCAGTAAACTTAACAGCAGCTAAAAATAGAAGCCATCGAGCTTCACAGTAAGCAAAAGGAATGAGGTGCATGAGATAATGATCTCTCAGTCCTGCAGAGCACCTCAGCAGTCCTTGACTCCTCTAAAAGCGTCTGTATTAAGGCTGAACTTTTCTCCTTTTCCAGACCCAGCCATGCTACTGGGAGCCATGACTGCCCTTCCCCTGGAGGATTTTTCCCCATCAGTGAACTACAGCTCCATGACCACCCCCTAATCTCTTTTGGCACTTTGAAATCAGCTAGTTTAGCCCAAACTAAATTAGGAGATATGGTGGATGAGCAGGTGAGGTAGGAGGAGGGCAACCAAACAACATCTTTATTAAAGAGAGAGAGGAGGGGACAAAAAGGTAGCTGCTCTCCAAATCACTGAAACTGTGAGACTGTCACACTTGCTGTTAGAGATGGAAAGCCTTGAACACTTCAATTTCCCAATTTTTACCTTCAGCTGCTTCATTTTATATTGAACATGTAGTTATACTGAAGAGCTTCTGCTTGTGTGTGATAAGCTTGTCTTGGGCTAGAGAGGGAAGAGCTTCTGAGAACAAGAATTAAAAATGCTCTGACAGAGCAAAAAAGATAATTTTTAATCCACTCCTTCAGATGTATATGTGTAAGTGGTAGACACATCTTGTTCTTTCACTGATGCGGAAGAAGAGAATTTGTGTGGCGTGTTTGTACTTTTTACCCATGTTGGAGAGTCGGGATGTAATGAATCTATGTCACAAAATATTTATTTTGTGTGAACCACCTTATGTTGTGTAACTTTTGGGGTTGAATTAACCACGCATATGTGAAACCAGGATGCTTGACCATGATTGATCCCTATCTACTGGCAACCTGTAGAAGTGCAGAAGAAGAGAAATTAAACTAGAAAACATATCAAAAGGTCCGTGGCAGTGCTTCTGAAAGACTTATCTGATGGATGGTCCTTTAACAAAGTTTTAAATATCCAAAAGGCATCATAAATAATATTTTTTATTTATACATCTGCTCTTTTGCCACAGCAATGTCAGCCCACTGACTGTCTGCTCCTCTCCAGCCTATGATTCACAGTATCCACAGATCTTTCTCTACAAAACTGCTACC